AAAATAATAGTAATAGTAATAATAATAATAATAATAATAATAATAATATATAATGAAAGGAAATACGTTAACGTTTGCCGGATACATTCATTGTACACTCGTAACAATTATTAGCCAATTAGATTCGTATATATATATATATACATATATATGTATATAAACATTATGTACTTTTGCTGAAAATAAAATGAAAACAGAATAAAAAAAAAAAAAAAAAAACAAACAATCGCCTCTAAATAAACCTAATTTTCCTTACACTCACACACACACACACACACACATTCGCATACACCCTTACCCACATTTATGTGTATGCGTAGTCATTAAATATAAAATAAAGTTCGTTTAAAAACTACTAAACTTTATTTTGTATAATTGTTGAACATTTTAGCATTTTTTTATTATTGTTATTGTTGTTTTATATTTTTATTTTCTTGGCATACACTTGGGGATGGTAAAATTTTATTTAGTTTCATTGCATAGTTTTTGGCATTGTGGTGGAATTTAATTGTTTTTTTATTAACTTGTACACGTTCACCGCAATATTTAACCTCGCTGTACCGGAAATATCGTGTTTATCAATATTTGCTACTGTTTTTTTTTTTTTTTTCTTTATTCACCTTTACCTTTATTTAGCTTATTGTTCATTTAGACAAATGCAGTGATGTGAGATTGCATAAGCGTATATAATAAAAACAAATTGGGCATTAGTTATAAAATTAATATAAAAAAACTAATATAAAAATTTCTGCATCAGACAGAAGTGTATGCAGTCCGTTTCGAATTAAATAATTTAGAAAGGTTTGATTTCATTCACAATTTTTTCAATTTCTTTCTACTTCATAAACCGTTAATTATCGAAATAGTTTTTGTTGTTCAACTAAAAAACTCTCAAAGTGGCTTGGTTAATTTTCATACACTTAGAGACTTGATTTCTCTTCTTTTACGACATATTAAATAAAAGATAAAAGATAAACCAATACCCAACAGTTTTGTCTTACTTTCACGTACAACTAGAAAAAACGCTGCAAGAAAAGTAGTTTAGTCAGTCAAAGGCACTTGATAAAGTTTAATTGTCACTCACATACTGTTCAAGGCAAAACTCTACAAATTCTAACGCGATACATGTATTACCGCATTTATGCATATGTAAGATTGGTTGTGTGTTTTTCCTTTTTTTCCCTGGATTTAATCAGAGTAATGATGGCAAATCTATCTTCCTAGCCTTAGGAACGCTCGCAACCCCAATGCGATACAAAACATTTTTTGAGGTTACCATACGATGTAAGAAGTAGGAGCGCTATTGCGGGGCAAGGCTCACAATTGAATACCCTACACCACTTTACAGATACTCAAATATCGATTTTTCAAAACTGGGTGTTATATGGCAAGTGGTTGAATAACTGGTCCGATCCGAACCATTTTTGATGGCGTTAGTCTTTGATTCGAAACACCTCAGTGTACCAAATTTCAGCCAAATATTTCAAAAAAATACTGGCTGTATGTTCAATAAAAGAGAACAAACCATACAAATGCACAGACCAGCTTAGATCGATCCAAGAAGTGGCTCTGAATTGATCGACAAAACAAAAGGTGGGTCTATCTCAAGTCTTTCTGGCTGTTGCGTAGCTCCGTACGAACTTAACAAACGCCTGCATGACAAGTGGTGCCGAGTAGAATAGCAGTCAATATACATCGGAAGAATGGCCTTTGGGCTTTGCAGTTTTACTGCCAAAAAAATCCTCCCAACGTTGTTATAGTAGATGGCATCGAATAGCGTGGCATACATTGATGCGTGAATGCTTTCCCCTGGCAGATGGGTCTGGAGGATAACGCAATTTTGGATAAGCTTCTTAGGACACATTACATTAAATAGTTGCGCGTTGGCTCTGGTTGTACCTACGTAGAGTGCTTAGGCACTCTTTCCTTGGCTTATAAGAAGAAAGAAAGTGGATATTTTCGATTCGCTATCTACCATACAGCCGTTTACATAATTACAGTGACCGCATTTGCTTAGGTCTTCAATCTGACAAGATCGTTCATGATATGGTTCTGTCATCAAGGAAGCAATTCCGTTATTAACTCCCTGTGATTATCGACGACGATGAAGTGGGATCGTAAAGGTTACACGTCAAAAAAAACCTTTGATATCTTGGCACATAAATACTTCTAGGCATCATAGTATTAAGGCTTCCACTGCATGAAGGGTCGTGTGTTATTTGGCGTGATAAAGTTCAGTCCTAGCGGATATATAATCTAGTAAAATCGTCAGGGTATATTTTTGTCTTTGATCTATTTGCGACCGAGGTACAGTAAATACTCTCTCAGTAAAGGTATAATGCTTATCGATTAAACATCCGTCTCCCCATATTTCTTCTTAACCATCGACGTATTCTTATGCACATTCAAACACGTAGAGGGATATCTCTTGATTTGAAAACTTCTTCATTTTAAAACAAAAAAAAAAAAATTATTAAGCATGCACCGCAGATACGTAAGAGAAGTTCCAACTTAGAGCAAGGAAATGGGGCTAGATGACAAGCCCTAAAAATCACTACGAGTGAACCTTTCTCAACCTAGTAGCCAGGTTCATCAAATTTGAGTATAACGATTGATAAGCATGGATAGAAAATTTAATCAGGTTAAAAAAGTTGTTTTAACGCCACTCCAAAAAAAAAAAAAAAATACCATTTTCTCTTCTTAGCTGATAATTAACATTTCGATCGGTATTGCTAGCTATAAGTAATGCTGCCGCATAGCTGAGTAAGTAGTAGCCGCGATTAGAAAGTCAATGTTCTTAGTGAGTGCTCACTCGTTGAAGCTATAACACTTACTGGTTAGACACGGATCCACTAGGCTGTTGTCGCTCCGCTCTCTCAGCTCTTTATGGCTGAAGGCCATACTGTGTCTCTTTCGATCTATCGCCACTTCTCTCTGACTAGATTTCTTGGCCTGATGGCTTTCCGTCAAGTATACTTCAATCATGCCTTGACGAGCTGCTTGGTGTTACTTCAAATATTTCTGTGGAGTTCTGGTGTGCCACAAAGCAGTCGTTTTGCCCTCTTGATTTTTCTTTTATTTATCAACGATCTTCCTGGTGTCATTCAGCAGCATAATATTTCAACTTTTGCAGACGATCTTAAGCTGTTTCATTTTATTCGAAGTGTAATGGATGTAGAACTTTGTGCTCGTGATTTACTATCGTTGCTACACTGGTTAAGAATTAACCTAACCTTACTGAACCTTTCCAAGTGCAAAAAGGTGTCAATTTCTAGATCATGCCCTGTTGATTACACCTATATAAATGTTGGTAACAACATAGGGGATGTGGTATCGTGTATTGACCTTGGCATGTCAATCGATCAGAAAATTAACTTTAATCTTCACATTCAATCAATTGTAAGTAAAACATAATGGTCGCTGGGCTTTATAAAAACATGGTCGAAGGACTTTGGTGATGTCTATATAACAAAAAGTTTGTATATGGCGCTTGTTGCTTGGAGTCCCAGCTATTCCTGTTAGATAGATACTATAGAGTCGGTTCAAAAACAATTCCTCCTTTTTGACTTGCCTGGACTGCGAGGAGGTACGTCCTTGCCCCTTCTGTTCTTTGAAAATCGCTTAAAATAAATTGATTTACCGGCGCTTGAGAAAAGAAGGCACAAGTTAGGAATGCTCTTTGTCTTCAAGCTGATAAAGGGAGACATTAGCACGCTACTTTTGCTCGGTTAATTATCTTTGACGGCTTCATCCCGCTTTTCCGGCACTATGTTCCTCTTAGGCTCTCGCAGTCCCGCACAAATTACGAGCTTTTCTCGCCGTTCGGCGGTGCTTATGAAAACTTGAACGACTTTTATACACACGTTTTGTTTTCTGATATGGTAACTCCTTTAAAAATAATTTCTCGGCATGAACTGATTTATTGGTTGCCACTTGATATTGACACTTACGTACAGTTATGGGGCTAATTGCATATTTTAGTGATAGGATTAAGATTGGGAAAGCATCTGCGCCTTTGGCAAACTGTCTGTGAATTTAATTAGGCATTAGCTTGTCACACTTTTATTTGTCTTAATTTTATTCTTTTTTTTTTTTGCTTATTTTTTTGTTATATTTTTATTTATGCATTATATATTGGCTGCACAGATTGCCTAATTATGTTTAGTTAATAAAGAAATAAACTGCAGGACTTTAATTTCCCTTTGAATTTATTGCAATGAATAAAATCTTGTCTTCATAACAGGACTCTATTTCTGCTTGAAACCGACTTAAATAATTTGATTACATGGTCCACATTAAATTTTATGAAAGGCAAATGGCTTTCTTTGTTAAGGAGAAATTCATTCGCTACTGAGCTTTCCATCGATTCACAAATATTGGAAAACATAGATTCGTTCACTGATTAGGGATTTGGGCTATCCCATTAAAAATCATGAGCCGAACAAGACCATAGGTAGGGCAGAGTGCTTTCTTCTGCGCATTGCAAATGTTTTGACAGTAAGAATGTATCCCTCATCGTTAGGTGTCCGAGTGGAAATAGCGAAGCGTTAGTCGGCATAGATAACAGGTTAATTGAACAGTTGAGAGTACTGAAAAAAATTCGCAAAACAAGTCTAAACGCAGTGGCCGAGCTACCACCGGATATTTCCCTTCCTTTTCTGTGCCAACCCATACTACCAGACACTCATTTTTCGCATATATAATAGAAAAGCAAAACAGGCTGAGGTAAATCATGAGCAATGACAATCCAATTAAAAACCTTCGCTTTTCCATAGAAACCACTATTGTTTCTATTTTTATCTCATTTTGGTTTTTTTTTCTTCTTTTAATTTTTTTTGTTTAGTTTTCTAATTTCATTAGAAATTTCGGTAGCGTTTGAATTCAAGTATTTACTTAAATAATTCTTGAATTGAATGAAAGCGAACAAAAAAAAAAAAAGAACAAGTGAAAAACAACAAATGACAAACAACAAACATTATGACAAACGATATGACACTTACCTCAGGCGACACGAAATAGCTGGGACTCTTTTCGATGGTTATTTGTCCACGAAACGAATGCGGCATTTTTTTGCGATACCAATCCAGACCCTTCATGTAATTTTCGTCCCGATCAAAAAAGTGCACCTCACCGCCTGCCTTTTGTATGCGCGGATGTAAATACAGCATCTCCAGTAAAGCACGTGTTCCACATTTACGTATGCCAATTATGAGAGCCTAAAAGTAAACAGTGCGAAAGATTATGATGAGATAAATAAAGCTTTTGTGAAAGCACATCATAATATGCTCAAGGTATTAAACGAAATTTTCTGGTTTACTCTGACTGACACCCTTTACTAAAAGCAAAAAAATAAAATCGGTTCCCCTTTAGCTAATTTTCGTTTCATGAAACTGCAAATTATATGCAAATTATAAATGCTTGCAATCTACTCTCAACCCTTCGAATTCCTTTGCATACAATAGTAGAGAATAAATTTACATTAAATTGCTTTAATTAGAAGAGTAAACTATAAATAATTGCAAATTAATTTAATGTGAAATAAACATTTTTCTTTAGATTTTTTGCTTCTTACAAGTTCAATTGATTTAAAATTTAACCGCAATCTCTGGATGCGGAGAAAATGTTGGTTTATGTGGCTAATGAATGCTGAGAAGATGAACAGTATCAAAGATATATATATATATATATATATATGTATATGTGTAGAACTTTAAAGGAAATTGCATCAGGTTTTCCAGAAGCTAGCTGGTGGTGGTGATGATGGAATCTATTCTCTATTCAATGCTGATCATCATGGTATACAAGTAATACACACAATTTCTGAATGTTAGAAAGAGAAACTCAAAAAAAAAAAAAAAACACAAAGAAGAAGAGGAGAGATATAGGCTCGGGGTGGGTGGCAACGAGGTATAAAATAAAAAATCGATACAATACAATCAATGTGATAATTAATTGCTTCAATCAATTAGTGCAATTTAATTTAAAATTGTTGATAAGAAACTCTTAACTTTTAATTGTACGCAAGGTTGAGTTTCAAAAGTTTTATGAAACTAATTGCACCCTATATACTTCTATATCACTTCCTGTACAGAGTGTATTAGGTTTGTCCAGGTATGTGCATCGGGCCGAAGATTCTCAGCAATATCCGGCAATCGCTTCAGAATCAATTCGCAATTGGTCAATCGATCTAGCGGTTAAGTGGTTTGATGAAATTGGTTTAAAAATGAATCCGCTCCCCATAGAACATCGTGAAAACTGAATTCTAGCTTATCAAACGAATATGGACTATTTCGATCTGATGGAATCTCCTCTTAAAACCCTTACTATGTAATCTCTTTTATAAAAAAAAGCATTCATTGTATATACCGAAATGATGTACGGTAATCATAGCCTGCGAAAGGGTGGGAAAGGAACAAAAGGCCTTAAGATTCAGAATTCCTTTTTGATCGATTCAGATTCCCGTTTTGAATCGGCTTAAGCTTGTCTGTCCGTCTATATATCTGGTTCTCTTATGCTCGGTTTACAGGCCGCAACTTTTCAGATATTTTAAAAAAAATTTGGTACATTGAGGGCTTTTGGCTTAGTGGCGAATGTTTTCGGAAAATGTTTCGAATCAGACCATTTTCTCGATCACTTTCCATTTAACGCCTTAATTTGAAAAGTTGTAAGGCGGTGTACGATGGGCCATGGTCCGCTATAGGGTTTTTATTATTTTTTAATAGGGCTACCCAAAAATCTTTTTCCCTAACATCCCTTAAATTCCCTTCTTGCCATCGAATTATTAGTAGCGTAGAGCTTTATTTATAAAATATGAGGCATTATTCAGAAGAACATTATTTTCAGAAGGAAAGGAACGAATAGCTGGACATTTAAACATGATTCACAATTTTCGGCTTGAGGAAATCCTTTGCGCGAATGCCGGATTTTGCTCTATTTATGAATCAACTTACAGTTCATCTTTTACGCGTTATTAGCGAAATTTGGCCTTCAGCTGCTTATTGTGCCTGGATTCTATGAAGCCTACAAATCTGCATTGACTCTTACTGGCTTTACTTTACCGGTACTTTGGAAAAATTTAATTTTTATAGCAATTAGGTAACTTTAATGTAGATTTCGATAGCGGACATTTTTTGATGAAAGTTAGTACAAAGTAGTAGTGGCTTGGCATATCAGTGAGATTCAATTACGTACATAGGTCTATTTTCTTCTTTTTTTTTTTAAATTCCATATAAGGTTTCTTATGGAAACTAAAATTATGGACGGTAACAAGCAAGAGCACGAACATCGTCGTTTACATATTTAATGATACCTGTAAACAAAAAAAATTTGCACAATTTTCAATTTGATCCTTATTCAGGTCACATAAGGATTCAAGATATCTTTCGGATAAATTTCATTGAATCACTCAAAGAAAAGAAACGAATTTTATTTCTTAGTGAAAGAGAGTAAGGAATGAAATTTTATTGCAAAAACGTTTAAGCCGCGTTGAAACCTTTCTCCATATGAATTGTTTTCGGCCCTGAGCTTAAGAAGCCTTTCATTGAAAAACATATCAAGAATGAATAGTTTTCGAAACCTTCACTAGTTAAGATATCATTGATGAAATTAAAAAAAAAAAAATTCTTAAGTGTAGTAAGCGTAGTCGTTAAGTGAATAAAGTGCGCGAGATTGCCAAGGAATAAAGGAAACTGAAACGTCTACCTTGTCTCTGCCATCCTTTACAGCTAAACATCGCAAGATTTTAGACAAACTCTTTACTCATGCTATAAAGATGATTACTCTTCTAAGTAAATCTTTTAAGTTCATTAGAATGAGTGCAACTAAAGCTATCGTTTTTTTTTTTCTTTTTCAAACACAAGCAAATCACAGGGAAATAGTTCATAGTAGCACTGTTAATAGCCCACAAAATATTGCTTAACACCATTAAAAAACAGCCTAAAAAAAGTGTTTTTTTTTCGTCTTTTTTGTAATGAAAGGAAAGTTAATGAAATGATAACATTCAAGGGTGCGATTAAGCCCATATTCACCTATTCAACGTTTTATGTCAAAGAATTTTTTTGAGAAATCTTATGAAATGGCGACAACGAAATCATTACCGCATCCTTATGTGAACCAGCTCACCGGCATGCATTGTAACTGGCGGGAATTTAACTTTGAAGAAAAAATAACGAAAATTACATTTAATCTGACTGCGTATAGCCAGACATTTTTTTAGCAATATTGGCTTTTCTGTGATGGCATGTAATTTCCGACCAAAAAGGGATAAGGCAGGTAAAAACGTTATATTGCGGCACGGCGCACCGTTTCATACTTTACATTACTTCGCTTGATGCAGTTACTCGTACAACAACTCGAAGAAGTCGTGTGATCCGAATCATTTTCAGTAGAGTTCCTCCTTGAGCCAGAATACTTCGGGGTTAACAAAATTTCATCAAAATATTTTAAAAATTTCGGCTTGTAATTTAGAGACAGCTAACCTTGAAGTCGGTCTACCCTTTAAATCCTGCTAGGTGCTACATATATCCACACAAACATAACATACCATTGCGCCACAAAGAGGATGAAAAAAAAAAAAAAAATGTTTAAACTAACTTATCGAAGATACCTTACGTACTTCATTTCAGGTAAAGATACTTTTTTTTAGGTAATAACTTCGAATAACGAAATTCTTGTTTTTGTTACGCTGCATAACGTTTCGGAAAATCGTTCAAAGTTTTCCAATTCGTTGTAGAGACGATTTTTATTTTTTAAATATTTTCTTTCATTTAGCCTGTAGTCCCGGAACCATGGAACTCGTCTCTCTTATTTAAATATTCTTCCTCTTGATCTGTCCTTCGACGCTTTTCCGTTGAATAGTGTTACTGGTACTGCGTTTATCAAAGAAAAAATCGTACGTTTTATGCAAAAGAACAGAAAATACGGCATACTCTGACGTTGCGGCCAGTTGTTGTTGTTGTTTTTTGATGTTGTGTAAATTTTGGGACTTTTCCTCTAAAGGAATAGTCCCAATAAAACACAAACAAACCGAAAACAATGTCTTGTGACTTATGACGTCTCTGTGATGCTGCTCAGAATACGGCTATAAAATGTATAATTTAATAGCCGAATTCGTAAACAGTAAGTAAACTTTTAATTTTTACGCAGAAACACTACAACCTTACTCATGTCTTCGAAATGATCGCCTCGACGAAGGTGCATTAACATATTTTTACTTGAAAACACATTGAAATGAACACAAAAGCATTTCGAAATCATTTGTTTGCGTTTTGGAGAAGTTACAAAATATCAGGTAAACCATGAAGGCTAAACCTCGCAGCAAGTGCTCAAAGCACGACGGCTGGCTTTTTCAGAAATTCCAAAGAACAAATTTATTTGGGAGACATTCTTCTTCTTTTCCAAAAGTCGTTCTATCCCTCAAGAAAGATCTACTCTGATAAAATCTAATTCAGTCCAGCGTAACGTACTAACTTTAAAATCCAGCACTCAGTTAGTGATTTTTACTATATACTATCATTATTATTATAATTTATTTGGACCAAGGAAGTAAATTCTAGGGCTAAAATCGACGGGCACTACGAAGTAAGTCTCTAGATTCTTCTTTTTTGTAAAAATAGATTAGATGGTTAGCCATTTCAGTAAAGCTAACTTTTTTACTGATGTCGTTTTCACCAGACACTTTCGAAATGTCGATAGGGTTAGGCGCTCCGACTATTGAAAAGCTTTTGACATTCATAAAGGAGATATTTAATCGTAGAATTGTGTTTACAATTGCAAATCGGAGGAGTAGATTTTGCAAAAATCCATTGTTGAGTTGCAATAGTGTTGTAAGGTGAAAGAACCTTTTCTGATATCTTACGTTTCTATTCAACTCCTTTTGGGGTTAAGTTCGTACTACTGAATCACGATTTTTGGCACAATATAGGTTTTATTTAAGAGCTTTAGGAGATCTATTCACAAATTATTTGCCGCAATTTATATTTGCAATGCTTCTTCTGATTTTGCCCTTTCCAAGATTGCGATTCAACTCTCTTGGCCCGACTTTCGCAATTACTCGGTTTATATGTGCATGTTACGAGTATTTAACTTCGTTGTGACGTATTTTGTGTTAATCCCTTACTCTGCGAAATGTTCTGCGAATAACTACAAAAATTTTCGAAAATCGTCAGCTGCATGTGATAGGTGAAGCGTCATGAATGTGTATTTGGCTTCACTATTTTTGGAATTGGGTTTCTTACATAATCGACAGGTTTTCGGGAAAACTCAAATCATCAAATGTGGGAACTTCGTCACAATGCTATCAAGGCAAGTTCTTAGGTTGGATATAGAGATGGAATGAGTTTAAGATAGCATGATAATATGAATGGATTCCTCTCCGATTCCTCTCATTAGGTTTCTTTTTCGTTTTTGAAAGTAAAACATTTACACAAATCATTTTTACTGATAAATTTTTTAAGGATTAAAATGATTCGTCTATCTTTGAGTTACCTGCTAATGAAATGCATGCGAATATTCTTTACATATAATATTAATAATAATAGTAGAAGAGATACATATTCATGTCTCCGTAATAAATATGCAGAGGGCTTATAACGACAATACGTGAATATAAATAAATCTACTCGCATACATACATGGAAAGTAACACTTTAACCGTTCTTCCTTACATGAACTTGATGTATAGAAGTTTATTACTAAAACTTATATAATAGAAATTTATAACATTACTTAAAAGTTGATAAATAAAAGCTTACACGCTTTAAGGTAACATCAAGTTGCGTAAATAAGAAAAACTCATACTCGGATAAGCTACGGAATGCAAGTAATTTTTTAATAAATAGTGAGTCGTACATACACATACGTACCTCGAATATAAAGAAGCACGATAGTAACAAAGTTAGACAAAAATCTTATAAACTATTTTATTAAGGAATTTCTTCCCAGAGTTCATCGCAATCACTTTTGCAAAGGACTTTTAATAAGTCCATAGAAGGTGTACCGATTTACTTTTTTAGCGCAATGCATCTATTTTATACTGGTTTTTAACTAATCCGTGGAAATCGGTTAAGAGAAAATTGTCAGCCGACTTGCGAGACTAATTACACCGACTCAAAATCTTAGGCTGATCGCAAGTTAATATAGTTTACGTGTTCTCTGATAAGTATTCTTGTTGATGAAAAATAAAAAAAAAAACCATCTCATCAAGATGCTCAGCTATTGTTAAATGATCCACATTGTAAAACGGCAAAGATTGCCATAAACACATGATGCCCTGGCCAACAATTCTGTTTTATATACGTTACTGCGTTACGTTAATGGTTGTCAAGTCCTCACCACGAAATGGATGAGTCTATACACGAATGTAATCCAATGTAATGTGACGTGCCCTGCAAAGGCAAGCATTCTCTTGCATAATTTTAACACAAAATATATCACAGTGAAAACATCCTTAGTGCATAAATAACGAAGAACGCGCAATAGCGCATGGAAAAGGAAAACTTAAATATTTACTAAAATACAAAATAAAGGCAAGAGCATCGAAAACCGTTATTTGATTTTATTATTAGTTCCAACATTTTAGAGTTTCCGAGATTAAGCCATCTTCCTATGTACATTGATTTTACCAAATATACGATTTGATGAGAATATTTTACTTTATTTTTGATTGCTGTTTTCCTTTCCGCAGCGAGCAAACATTCACACGCTATCGAGCCCCATCAACCCAAAATGCAAATTGGATATCGAGTTTGCTCGATGACGTAATTGTCAGTGAACCACATTTTTGCATCGAGTTTTTTACAATACCTTGAAGATGACATTGTCTAGGGAATCAAAGAGGACATCTGCGATAAGTGAGTGTAAACATTTTTATTAATTTTTTTGTGGGCAAAAATTTACACTTTTCGATATAAATGCTTAGCCATCATAGGATAATGTTATAGTTCTAAAAAATCGTACGTTTTTCTCTAGCGATACGTACGTCCGCAGATTACTAATTACACCGCCCGTACCTGAATACCGTCACCTGACGGCAAGAATGGCTGCGGTATTGCCATTTTTAAATATTTTTCAAAAAAATTATTACCTTTCGTTTCAACGCAAAAAAATTTGTCAAAGTAATCTTTTTCCTAAGCCTAACACTGTGGCTTCCGCTTTTTGATGAAAATATTGCACCGCACAATAAAATTTATTTTTTTATTTCATACCAGGCTCAATACCTTTTTTCCACATCCTACTCTGGATAGGAAAATTGAACAAAAAAGTGCTAAGTTGGTATACTTGTCGTAGTGTCTGTCGTTATTTGTACTGAACTTAACTGTTGCCATGCTTTCTCACAATCGTAAAATACTAATAGCGAGAATAAACGACGACTTAACTTTGAACATAAAATGGAACACACAAACATCATAATTTAAATAATTTTTTATGTAAAGGAAGAGACATTAAAAGAAAAGGGTAAAATAAATGGTTTGAGTCCTTTAGTAAGGGTGTAGTGTTGTGCAAGTGGAGTAACGGATTTTAAGAAATATTTTACAAAAACAAACTTATTCTTGTATTCTAATAACCAAAGACCGTAGATTCTATAAGTCGCTACGAGCAACATAAATTAATCACCGGCAGTGTACTTAAAATATCAAATAGCTTACTTAAATTTATCTTTTTCGATACTATTGATAGGTCTACAAAGGCGTTACATAATCTGAGAAATCTCTCTTCTCAGGTGGTTTTTTCAAGAGTTTAAAAAATTATCCTTCCTATTGCGCCAAAAGGTTTGCTTTTTGTTTTTTTTTTGAAAGATGTTTGTTATCCATTTCCACTGAACACACACGAACAAATACCTGCCAGAATGCATAGATTTTTTTCCCAAAACGACTCAAGCCCTGTCTTTATCTCCACAGCTAAATCGGTAAAATTACATCTACCTTGTTATACTAGATAAATATCGGTTGTTATATATATATATATTTATCGTTTATATATCGGTTACAAATTCCATGAATAAGGTTTATTAGCAGACGTTGCAGGACAAGTAATGTTCTGTAAGTTGTAGAAGTGACCATTTGTTAAGTGTTATTAAAATCGGTGCGACTGCACGACAAGAAGCTTGTACTCATTCCTTTAAATCAAAAAAAATCTTTTAATGTAAGTGTTAAGCGGATTTTCAATCCGATAAACTTGCTTACAGAAAGCATTCACAATGTACATGGGAGCATTGTACTAAGCAAGCTTCAGCCAACATCTGCTTCTGTTCATGTATCGTTTTTGAGATAATTTAATGATATTTGTTATCAGGACATGCTTTGTCTCAAGGATGAAACTCAATATTGGATCGCACTATTTGTAAGACTAATTCCTATGTAGCTCTACATCTTGAAAAAGTCGTTATGAGGTCATCGAGGATATCGGTTGGACGGCTATATCACTTTAAAGAGCTTCACTTGCTAGCTGTATAAAGAGTACGACAGTTTTAGGCCCAAGATGCTTAAACTTACATGTAAGTTATATACTTTTGATGTGATTGTTTGTTTTTATTGAGAGATTGGTATCTTCGAAGGAGGCATTTATGAGTATATAACTGAGCTTTTGTTTATCAGCGATCCCATTGGTTCTACAAAATATGCACGACCTCAGTCCTCGGTCTATGGTCTATCGTTATAGTATTGAACAGATATCCGTAATAGATAAACAATTCTAACTTCAGATCTACAGATAACTGTTAAACTTGAAAAATTTGTTACACGTTACATATGTTTCTCAGAGACTCAACTAAAAGTCAGTGTAAAGGTAGCTACCTCGCACTCGCACAATCAACGAAATACTTTTCTTCATATGCCGATACGAAAAGGCTAAGTAACAGACGGCATGCTAGCATTTAGGCGAAGTGTACCCTATAAACCTTACTTATGTTATGTTCTTACTATATGATTATCTCCTACGCTTCAAGCAAAAAAAAAATCTCTTAAAATTTAAAAATTATTTTATAACAAAGACAAATAACAAATAATTGATCAAAGCTTAATGTGTTTGCCTTCTTCTGTCTCGCTTTGATTATGAGAATTATGGTTTAGCTTATTATTGCACTTAAATCGAAATCACTGCATTACCTAATAATGTCGTAGTGTGAGCGTCAAATACATTTTAATGAAATTATTATCTTACCTGTGGCAAACGGCGACTGGTTTTAGGAAAATGTACACGATTCGAAGGAAACACCATTGGATGGCTTATCTGTTGATTTGATGAAATATCAGCTGACTTATCATACAATTCTGACAAACGATTAATACTGTTGCTATTCATAAAAGCAACAACATGACCTGCACTAGACAATGAGCCGGCAGCATAAACCGTGCCACTGGCACTGCCACCATCGCCACGATTATTATTGCTGCCTGTGCCAATACTTAGTAAGGATGTACGCTGTTGATTATATTTAAGTTGCTGCGATGACATTTGCGTTTGCGTTTGCTGTTGCGATGATTGTTGTTGTTGTTTTTGTTGTTGCAAAGTCTGATAATGATAAAGATGATTCTGATGATGATGATGATGACGATTGTTTACGGCTTGTGCTGCTTGGATATTATAAACCGCGCTATCGTATAGTACATGAAATGTTAAAAACAATGATATTAACATAACGGTAAGAAAGACTACAGCTAATTTGGGACGGGAAACACCCACAACCAATATACAATCGGTATGCGATGTATCAGGCCCTACAGGCCTCATGGCAGATTTTGGTAACCATCTAAAATGAAAACAAACAAACAAACAAACAAAACAATAATAATTAATAATTTATGCTGAAAATTTATACGATAAGAGAGCAGTAAAGTAAATTTTAATCGTAGCCATGATAAGCAATTCAAGAGCTTTAGAAATAAATCCTTATACATTGTAATATAATATAGAATTTATTACAGAGCACATACACATATGTTATTATATATCATATATATATATATATATATATATATATATACATATGTGTTTATGTGTGTGCTTAATATGTGCGTATATGCCTATGAAAATATTACTATAATATATCTCATCCAAACTTGGTAAGCGTTTTCATGCGATAATTTCATAGAAAACCATAAATTAGGCCGTTACATTAAGTTACTTGAAGGACTTGAGTGAATTTATGCATGTCTGTATAAAGGTATCGTATGTGTTTGATTATCTGTACGGGTGGGCTGTTGATGAGTTGTTTTACGTTAAATAGCTAAATTTAGGCATTTGTGTTTGCATAATTTCGGTTTTCTGTTTTGTTTTGGCTTTCAATTCTACGAAATTGCTTCGTACACCTTGTACGCTTGTCTCTTATGCCCTGTTTATCTCCCTCTCTCTCTCTGTCTCTTTCTCCCTATCTCTCTCTCTCTCTCTGTCTCTTTCTCCCTATCTCTCTCTCTCACTCTCTCTCCCTCTGTCGGTCCCTCCCTCTGTCATCTCTTTCTCATTCACTATTTAGCCCAATCACTTTCATCCCCCATCGAACGATTATATCTGTGGTCGAAGCCTGAAGCTCAAATTATTCCATTAAGGTAGATTTTCGCATTATGGATTGTATTGGTTCGGTCGGTGTATCTATCTCTGAGCTTAATAGCTTAGCGAATGCCTCTGCTTGTTCGTTAATTCGATTATTTACTTGCACTTAAACAAATGTGATTTTCTATTTAATTAAATTTTAATGAATAACTAACGTAGAAACATAGAGAAAAGGCCAGTTAGTTATGTTTATTTTATTTATTTTTTTTTTTTTTTTTAATTCATATCTTTTGACTGCCAATGTGAACATTTTAATAAAACAACATTCATTTCATTTCATTTAAGGGCTAATTGTTAAATGTGGTAAATATTTTTATTTATTTATTTACAAATGTCTGTCCATTCTTACAGAATATTCATTTCATAGACAACGTTATGCTGTAACATATCTTACGATAACAGAAATCTCTTCATAATGAATTTTCGAAACTTTATTGAAAAGAAGAAAGTCATTAGCGTCTTATTTGGTTAGAATGTTTCATAATAGAGTCAGTTTTATTTGGATAAATCATTTCATGTAAATTTCATCGAGTCAAAGGATTATTTGAAGCGTTAAAATCAAATTATGTCATATTATATATTATATTATAATCGAACGTAAAGATTGCTCATTTAATTTCTTGCATCATTTCACTTAGGACAATTTCTTTTCAAGCAGTTTCATCATTAACTTGAATAAGTAAGAGAATTACATTCAGTTGGGATTGAATCCTTTATACTTATTATGATTACGTAATTAGTTATTATTGCAGTTTGTGTAAAATTGAGTAAAATACTGATTTTTTTTTTTTTTTTCGTACTGTAGGTATGTTTTACTTATTTCTAAGGCTAATTTGCCTGGAAGAACTTCTTGACGTTTTGCTTCAATTCGAAGGCTTCATCTTCGCGTTTCCGAACGAAAGAATGTTTGCTGTAAATGGGTAGAAAGACAAACGGGCGAACAAATGAATGGACATAGTTGGGAGAATTTCAAACACTGAACAGGGATATCTTTACTTTATGAGATCTTTGAAACGTCCTTGTAGACATTACAAAGGTTTCAAAAAAATATTCAATTTTAATGGGATTTGTTCCATTTTTCCCGCATTTGCGCGGGTGCCATATAATTGCTCATAGAATATGGACGGAAGCGTTTTTAACCTTATCTGCTGCAGTGCCTGAGCGAATGAGCAAAAAACCAAGCAAAGAAGTGCTCTCAGCTCGCGTGGAACAATCCTTCGATCGATTCGATCTCAAAAGCAGTTTCCCTGCAAAAACTTCCAATGTTTTTGGCAAATTTGTAAGGTTCACTTTTGGGATTAGAATAGTGTTTACCGTAGACGGTATGCAGACGGACAGAGAGATATGATTAAATTGATTCGGAACATGTTGCTGATCAAAGATATATACAATTAATGGGATTTCTGCGATTTCTTGCAAGCATTTTCACAAAGCGGATATACTCCAATCCTGCAATGGTTGAAAGGCAGTTTTTATATAGAACCGAGTGAGAAAAACTCTTCAAAGCGATCGAAATTGAAAACAATAAATTTATATACCAAAACGCTATTATTGACTTTTGGTAGGTTGTGCACGTTATATTAAGCTTTTGTAAATCTCTCTTTCTTCGGTGTTTGTCCATGTATTTTAGCGTTCAACAAAGAGGCCACAATTTTAGAAGCATTTTAATGGATTTCAATATACTGACACGTGTCGATTATTTGTTTAATATCCACCCTCAAGTGATGAGGTATGTTCCTATTGTCACGACGTTTGCAATATCCGCCAGTAAGTCCTAAAGTGTACGTATTCTTAATCGGCAAGAAGTTCGAAATCGATTTCGGTGTTTTTATCTGTCTGTCTGTCTGCATTATCAGTCAGTCGGATACGATTTTCACGAATTCCAAAATGAAGATATTGGCTTCAAATTTGATAAAAAAAGTTTCCGCTCCCAGCTAAGTCGGCCAAAAGACACGCCCACACACGTACAACGTAATTACGAATATTCATGTTTTCAAAACGAAAAGTATGTGTGCTTTGTTCACTTCCCATAAACCGCAATAATATATATTTACACTTTCTATTTCAATGTAAAGATGAGGGGCAAATGAATGATTTGGCCATAGCTTGTCATTTGTTAACATTGACTTTCTATAAAACATTATGCGAGTATTTTATTGAAAGTTGTAAAAATTCACTTAAGGCCACATGTAAACCAGCCTTTTTTCAATTTGGCACATGTAGCTAATATTACGCTTATCTATAGTTCAACATAGTTTTTGATCAAAATACGCCATTTCAAGTCCTTAAGGAATTATGCTTTAATTTGCATAAGATGGAATGTATTTTTGTTGTTGTTGTTGTTGTTGTTAATCACTTACTTTTCCTACATGTAAAAACAAGTCTGCGGCTTTTATTAATTGCCCATTTGCCACTTTTGCTATTTATTTTATTTTATTTCACAACCCATCAAACAAACGTAGTTACTTAAAACATGATGAGCAAAACTAAAAACAAAAAAGGGGTCAATGGTGTTCCGTAAGAATAACTGAAAACGCAATTTTTTAAAGGTTATAGTCGAACTAGATCGACCTTTGAATACACATCCCGATTTTACGTATATAAGAAGAGAAATACACAATCATATATAGATAAGAACCTATAAGCACCTTCCTCATTAGGAGCAACCTTTCTATGGGCAGCATGAATGTACGCCCTTGTAGCTCTGGACGTTATCAAACTATACGCACGCTTGCCTTTGCATTTTTCATAAGTAACAAATGGCCATCCAGGCCGTTATACTTTTTCAAGGAGACATCCACTGCTTACAGTCTAGTATTTTTTATATGCCATCCTAATCGATCTCCTGAGCGCTCTTCTCTAGACAAATTATTTATGTCCGCCTCATTCTCAATAAGACTTTGAAACAAAAAAAAAAAAACCAGTAAGAAAGTTATATTCGGCGAGGGCCAAGTCTCGCATACCCATCATTATTATTTTCGCATTCTACTCTCCAAGTTCCCTTATTTTATACCCACATCGCTGGTATTTTTAAGAAAAAATTAATCGTAGCGTCTGCCATACGACAATATGTCTTCATTTGAGAAGTGTGCAAAGTAGTTTTAAACATTCCGTCTTGTTTGTCTTATGGTAAAAAAGCACAAAACCTCAAAAAAGTGAAAAAAAAAATTAAATTTAATTACTCGTAACTATGTATGGACACTGACGACTGATTCCATTTTTGAGCATAGAGGGCAAAGTGTGTCGAAAACTAAATGCGGAAAGTTTCAGCTTTTTAACTTTAATAATTTTCGAATAACGAGGAAAAATCCAAAAAATTGTTGTTAGAAAAAACTGAGTTGCGTTCAGTTTACGGTCCACAGCGCGCTTATGCTCCGGCCGATTTGGCCCGTTTTCAACACCAACCTGCTTCTACCCAATTACAAGCCGATATATTCATCTTTGCGACCAGGAGAGTGCCAACAACACACACCTCACAGGTACACACACATACACAGACGGACGAATCTGGCTAAATCCAACTCAGAATTTCACGCTGATCAAGACTATAAGGTCTCCGAAACTTCTATTTGGGTCTTACATATAACATTACATTTGGGAAAAAAGTAAAATGAGTATACCCTCAGCTCACAGTGATTTAAAAGTCCTTAATGCTCTCCTCAATATTCTGGCACTGTTACTTCTTGAGATGATTGCTCAAAATTAAACGTATCAAGCAAGATATTATAAATGTCCACAAACAGCATATGCTACGTAGGGTAGACAAAGGAAATTGCTTTGCAAAGATTTAAAGATAGTAATTGCGATGCTAACGACTTGCACATAGGGTGGAAATAACGTATATCCCGTTGATTTCTCTCAAAAGTCTCAATTAAGTTTAAATTTTAAAAAGTGGACGCCATATAGGACATAGTTACGGAAGCGGATTTCAAAGAATAAAACATGAAAAGACTGCACATATGCTGGAGAGTGTTTCTGACCTAAAACGAGATAAATAAATAAAAATAATGAACTAAAAAAGTAAAAGCATACAAACATGTTTATCGTCTTTGGTTTGTGTATTACTTTTTCTTTCATTCATCTAAAAGTGTGCTACTGTGTCATTTCTTAAGTGGACATGAAACAAGATTCCATACACTAATGCAGAGGTAGCGTTTGCAGCTGATGTCAAAGCAACCTAACGAGAAACAAAAAATGCTT